TGATTTATGCATAAATCACAACAGTGATTTATGCAGTCAAACTAGGTAACTAAAACAAGGCTAAGCAGGCATTGCAAAATCGAGGGCGACTTCCCATTTTCTATATAGAACCAAAGGGTCCCGGTGCCATGGGAACAGTATGTGGTGTGTTTTTCTCGGCTACTTCATCTCTGGGGCGCCTCAGGGTCTTCTCTAGTGGGGACTTTTACTGGGCTCAGTTCCATCAGTTCTATCAAGTGTGGTTTATTAAAGAACTCAGTGTTACTATGGTAACTGAATTACAAACTGGAGGACGTGGAGAATTATCAGGAATCATTTCATCATTAATCATGTTAGAAAGTATTTTTCTCAAACTACTGAAGTGTGCATACCAAAACTGGCATTCGTGCCAACACTCATTGTGTTATTCTAAAGCTTATAGAAAATTTCCATGGTTTCAATAACTGCCACAAACAAATGAAAGGAAGTAGCAGAAGCCAGCTATGGAGTTTTCTGACTTTTCAGAAATTTTCCCCATGCCCGGACCTTGTCAGACAGCATGAGTAGCATGGCCCGTGCCAGAAAAGGGTATAGACTCTCTAAGGGACTCAATAATTTAAGCTATGGTGGGCCTCCCTGGTGGCGCAAGGGGTGAAGCACCGCACTATGAAGCAATCCACGGCCTCTGCAGCATGAGTTTGAAACCCAGCCGGTCAGGGAGAAACCCACATGGCGAGGCAGACCTCTCCTGTCTTGACCACTGCTCCCCTCAGCAGTGTGTTTCAGTCAGTCTGCCTGTTCTGTTCCCCACTCTGTCTCTGGTGGATCCTCTCACCTCCTGCATCTCTGGCCTGTGCCCCAGCTCTTATATGCATACATAAATAAATCTTAAAATAATAATAATAATAATAATATAAGCTATGGGAGTGAGCCTCAGACAGAGTACTCCCAAGTGGGAACATCATTTCCTACTGCATATACACCCTCCACCAAGACACAAAGTTCTTATCTTTTTACCGTTTTCCTTTTATCCACATAGTCCCACCATCAAGACCAGTCAAGGCCACCCTTTTAAAATCTATCCTCTCATATTGTTTACTCTCGATTTTTGCTGCCATAGAAGATCAGCCCTATTAGCTCCTATTAATTTGATAGGTGTAAACCTGTATTCCACATGTGTTGCATCAGCAGTGATAAAAGAAACAGGAGTCAAGGAGCAAGGTGTAGGATGCAGGATACTGCTCAAGAGCAGGATCTTGGCCTTTTTATTGACAGAGAAGGGTGGGTCAAACTGAAGACTGGATTTTGGGCTTTCGAGAGGGTAAGTACAATCACATACACCAGACGCCCACCCATGGCTCCAATCTTATGAACAAGGTGTTCCATTGATCAATCCCTGGGCAAAAAGCACATCTGTCAACAGCCCACCCCCCCCCTTCCCAGTGATACCTCTGGATGTATACCTATTATCCCAGAGTGATCAAGCGTCCTGCTCTTGGCTAACTTGAAAAGAGCCTTGTGGGCCTCCCTGGTGGCGCAGCGGTTGAGCTCTGGGTTGCAAAGCTGCCTGCAGCCTCTGCAGCACCGGTTCGATACCAGGCTGCTCCCCCGCATCCGGAGGAGGTTCCCACATGGCGCAGACCTCTCCTGCAGCCTGCTGCTCCCCTCAGCAGTGTACTTCGGCCCTTCTGCCTGCTCTGCTCCCCGCTCTGGCTCTGGTGAATTCTCTCACCCTCCCTCGCTTCTGACTGTACCCAGTGCTTGTATAAATAAATAAATAAATAAATCTTTAAAAAAAAAAAAAAAAGAGCCTTGTACTCTACACCCAAAACATGGCCATTCATTCAACAATCTGGCCCTGTTCTAGGCTGGAGATACAGGTAAAGTATGATACATCTCCACTATGGAATACTACTCAGCAATAAAAAGAAATTAAATACTGGTAAACACACACAATGTGTGAATTTTGAAAATGGTTCATTAAGTTAAAGAAGCCAATCACAAAGGACTTCATTGTTATGATTCTGTAACAGGGTGGTCCCCAGGAAAGGGGGAGTTTCCCTGCCCCACCCAAGGGAGGGTGGAGCTGAGCAGGAAGAGGAGAAGCTGCAGAAGAGACTGAGGAAGGAAGGAAGGAGGATGGAGCCAGAAGGAGACCTGGAGGAGGCGCATGGAGCCTAGAGACACGTGAAGAAACTGCGCTTGTCTTTTGGTTGTGGACTGGGTGACACAGATGTGGGTGAGACCCATGGGGAGGTGACCATGGCAGCTTTTATCTTGATTTTGATTTTGATTTTGCTCTTTTCCTTCCGGGCTTGTCTGGTTGTTTCTGACCCTTTTCTGAGGGTCCCCACTGGAAGATGCTTTAGACTTGTGACAGGCTTTGGGGCCTTGCTCTGGGCCAGTCCCATTTGGATGGAGTTTTACCCACGAGGGGATGGGTAACTTTGGGTGCTTCATTTAGAAACTAGACTCTGCCTTACCTGTATTGTTTCCTAGTTTTATTAAAGTTCCTTCCCATTAAAGTCTCATATGTTTTGTGTTGATGAGGCGGATGGCAGAACCCATTTAGAACAGGCAGGTTTGCGGGGTTTTGGGCTGCCCCTCTCCCTGTCCTATAACAATTCCATTTATAGTAAATTTATATAGACGAAACTAGAGGACAGTAGATTTGAAATTGCTAGGACTGCTATGGTTGTGGGGCAGGCTGAGGGGGGATGGGAAATGACTTAAAAGATCGCAGGTTTCTGAGGTTGAGGAAACTGTTTTAGAATTGTTTGTGGTGGGGCCTCTCTGGTGGCGTAGATGATTAAGCGTCAGCACTATGAAGCTGTCTGCAAATGATGTCGTTTTTTGGAGTCAGTGGGTTTGGAGTGCGGGGGTCCTTGGGTTTGTAACAGGGTGGTCCCCAGGAAAGGGGAAGGTTCCAGGTTCCCTGCCCCACCCAAGGAAGGGTGGAGCTGAGCAGGAAGAGGAGAAGCTGCAGAGAAGAGACTGAGGAAGGAAGGAAGCAGGATGGAGCCAGAAGGAGACCTGGAGGAGGCACATGGAGCCTAGAGACACGTGAAGAAACAGCTTGTCTTTTTGGTCGTGGACTGGGTGACACAGATGTGGGTGAGACCCGTGGGGAGGTGACAATGGCAGCTTTTATCTTGATGTTGATTTTGCTCTTTTCCTTCCGGGCTTGTCTGGTTGTTTCTGACCTTTTCTGTGGGTCCCCACTGGAAGATGCTTTAGACTTGTGGCAGGCTTTGGGGCCTTGCTCTGGGCCAATCCCATATGGATGGACTTTTACCCACAAGGGGACGGGTAACTTTGGGTGCTTCATTTAGAAACTAGACTCTTTGCCTTACCTGTATTGTTTCCTAGTTTTATTAAAGATCCTTCCCATTAAAGTCTCATGTGTTTTGTGTTGATGCGGCGGATGGCAGAACCCATTTAGAATAGGCAGGTTTGCGGGGCTTGGGCTGCCCCTCTCCCTGTCCTATAACAGGTTCACTGAGGGAAAGGTTTCACCACAGCTCCCCTTTCAGCGGCGCACAGCAGTTTCCCAAGACAGAGACATTAGTTAGATTTGAAAGAGCAGGTTTATTAGAAAAGGGACAGAAGAGTAAAAGATACTTGCATAAACACAACTGGGCAGGACAAGCTGCCCCCAAAGGGGCAGGTTTGCTGAGAGAGGCCTGCATGGTTGCAGGCGGACAGCCTTGAGGAGAGCTGCCTCCACTGAGGAAGGTCAGTGAAGAGAAGTCGAGGCATGATGCAGGTCACCGGCGGGCAGGAAGACTACTGCTTTGTAGAGGGAGTTGGAGAAACGAGGAACCTGCGTAGTCACAGGTGGGCAGAAAGACTACTGCCCCTTTGTGGGGGGCAGTGTTAGGTTTTAGCATCTTCTTTTGGCAGGGAGGGCCTTATCTTTTTGGGTGGATGGTGCATTCCCCTGACACTCCCTATAGCAGTCTGATAGTTTCTGGATGTTGTGCCTCCCAATCTGGGCGTTGATGCCTAAGGCTCTTGGTTTCTATAACTGGGTTAATGGCTTATGCTAATCCCTTCTGCCCTGACCTCCTTGTGTGCGTTTGTTCTTGACCTTGTATCTCCTTTCCAGTTTTTCTATTTTTATCCTCCATCATAGCCACTGCCCAGGTGTTTGATCCCCAGCCAGGAAGGTGACACACATGGCGCAGCAGACCTCTCCTGTCTCACCCACTGCTCCCCTCAGCAGTGTATTTGTCAATCCGCCTGTTCTGCTCCCCACTCAGTCTCTAGTGATACCTCTCACACACACCCCCAACCTCTGGCCTATACCCCTGCTCTTATATGCATAATCTCAAAAAAAAAAATTGTTTGTGGTGATAGCTGCACAATTTCACAAATATACTAACAACCATTTGAACTGTACACTTCATATGAGAGTACGGCATAGTATGTGTGTATATTCATACATACAACGGCAGAAACCTGTGATCTTTTAAGGCATTTACTTGTGGCACCACTTAATAGTCAGACGTGCCTTTAGCACTCAAAATCACTGTGTAAAGCTGTTTAACGGTTCTCACTTTTTAGACCACTAACTTCCTCAGGGCAGACTGTGCCGGAACCCGGCGCATTAACGTCTGGCAAAGTGCTTTGGTATATATAATAGGTGCTCACATGAAGACGTGTTCAAATAGGCAGGAAACAATGTACAACCTAGACTAAATAATTCAAGGTAAAGCTGGGCAACCAGTACACGGCCCTTACACCACGAAAGGCACAACAAAAAACAGCAATAAAGCGGAAAGGAATGAAGGAGGGGAAACTGAGTGCAACATTTCTGTCCCTTTCGCTCAAGCACGACGGCTTCCCTGGAGTATAACACAAGCGACGCAGGCGTGGCCCGCCGCGGCCACTACAGAAGCCTTCCAGCGCGCTCACTTTCCCGCCTCACTGAGCCCCAGGGATGGGGGCAGGGCCGGGGGAGGCGCGGGGCTGACGTCACATCCGGGTCTGACCTCGCTGCCGCTAGAAAGGGCAAGTGCGGGGCGGGGCTAAGAAAGCGCGCGTTCTGGGAGGGGGAGGGGCCGAGTTTAGGAGCGCCGCGTCACGTCCGGAAGACTTAGAGTCCGTGCGGAGGCGGTGCGGAGTGCTTCGGCTCTGGGCGGCTCGGAAACCAGTGCGCTCGGCGAGGCTGCGGCGGAGCCTCCGTAAAGAAGGTGCGGGAGGTTGGCAGCTTCGCTGGAAGCACGTCGAGCGGCGATAGCAGCTAGGAGTCATGAGCGACAGCGGCGAGCAGAACTACGGCGAGCGGGTACGTAGAGGTGTTGCAGGGGGCGGCTGTGTGGTCCCAGCTTCTTGTATCTTTCTAGGCCCGTCGGCCTCGAGGCGGGTGATTTACACGCCGAAGTCTGAGGCCGGGAGCGATGGAAGTCAGGGGCTAGTTAGAAAGCCCCTGTGAAAAATATCTTTAGTCGTGAAGGAGGCCACCGGCGGGTGTAGGTAGCCTTGTCCCCGAGACGGCGGTTTTTTTTTTCCGTTATAAGGGGGCGAAGATTAAAAATGGCCGCTGCGTCCCCTCGGCGTTGGGGGAGGGGAGCAGTATCTTATTTCGCCGTTGCTCTCCTGCGAAGCCTCGCCGCAGCCATCTTGGACTGGCGGGCTGGGCGCGCTGCCAGAGGCACAAAATGGCGGAGAAGCCGCGCGTCAACGCGGGCCCGCGCCTCACTGTGCCGCTTGGGCTTGAAAGAAAAAAAGGCGACCTCCTTTGGCGACTTCCGTACTCAAGATAAGGAAGGCTCATCTTGTGGGCTCCGAAAGTATGGAGACTAGGAAGTTGGCGATTTTAGGAGGAGGAAAATGAATGCGGTAGACGAACGTTCTGGGCCCGTTAGCTTGAGGGGATTGTGCGCGGGCTTTGTGTTTGGGTTAAATGGAGTGCTTTTATTTGATCCCAAGAAGGTTTTCAAAGCAAAGGTCATTATAGATCTGAAAAGAATAGACCACGAAGACGCTGAGATTTTGCTTTCAGGAGTGTTGTCCCGTTTACCCTCTCCTCCCCCACCGCGATTCCAGGAGAAATTGTCAGGGAAGAGTGTAGGGAGTCGTTCATTTGCATTGTAGTAGTTTTGTGTGTGTGTTTCGTTGGGGTTTTTTTTTTTTTTTTAAGTCTCCGCCTTCCAAAAGTGGAGTTGGGTGAAGGTTGAGTAAATTGCAGGGATAAGACATTGTCGGGCTTAAACGGCATGTTGTGGTGATTGGTTTCAGGGCCTTGGTATTGACGATGCAAAAAAAAAAGGTTTGCCAGACTATTGCATAGCCAAAGATTAGGAGAATTTGTTAGTGTAAAACTGCCTAAAACTTGACACACACTTGATAGGAGTGAGTTGTTAGTATTTTTTTTGTCTGGTAGAGTCACCTTAATATCTTAGTAATAATTGACAGGTAAATCTATTGAAGTATCTTAGCACAGTCGTATAAAACAGATTCGGGGTGAATTGATAGAAGGGTATTTTAATACAATACCTATGTGAATTCCTGGAACCTTAACTCAATGTGTAACTTTGGGGCCAAATCGGATCAATTTGATTTGCTAAGACCTCGCCTTTATATATAAGGGTGAATATTGGGTTTTTCTATTTTTTTTCCTAACATGATATAGCTTGCTGTGTCCACGGTGTATGCCTGCGGTTAGGTTTTCTTAGGTAAACAAAGTTTTGATTGAGCTCACCAGGTAAAATTGTTTCTACCAGAAGTTGAATGTACTGTTGAAACTAATCCTAGGTGTTGTTACTAACTCAGTCGTTGAGAAAACACGACGACTGACTGGCTAAAGGGGCGCTCAGTTGAATGTAGCTGAGTAAATTACTTAAAATTGGTGTGCTTGGGAAGATGAGAAATTTGGCTGAAGAAGAGTAAATTGGCATATTTTGCAAAAGAAGGGAAGCAGTTGTAAATAGGTCCTGATTTGAGATCCAGCTCTAGAGGCATTGGCATCTCAGTTAATTAGAAATTTTTGAATTCGTTTTCCCCCTTTCTGGTACAAACTACGACCTAGTGTTTTTCACAGTTCTATTACATAGACTGGGTATTTACTGAATTCTAAGGAGAGAGTTAAAAGTTACGTGTCAGAAGTTGATACTTTTATGAGTCTTCTGGAAGAGATTTCTTTAAACTTTGAAATTTTGGGAAACATACAGTATTTTGCGTGGTGGTTCGTGGTGGCTTTCAGTTGGGGTAGTTAGAATAGACATGAAACGTGTTTCTGCTCATAAACAGTGTTTGGCAAAAGCGAAAAGAAAGGTAGATGAAACTGCTTAAATTTGCAATTAAAAAGCATAGGTAGAACAGGTCTCGACTAAAAACTTACTTTTGTAAATGTCTGAAAGCAGTGGGAAAGTTGCCTTCTGGGTAATCTTCGTTCCTGGTTTGGATAACTTCTCTGGATCCTGAAAAATTACTTACTTTCATTCCACTCTGGGTCCTCCTAAACTAAATTAACTCAAGTGAAGTCAATTCAGGAAATGCAGTCATGGTCTCCTTGTCCCCGGTAACTTTATAGAAGGTTACCAAACACACTTCCTAAGACCATAAATTCCTTTTCTAAATAGAATGAGGTGGTGTGTGATTATTAATTTGGTCACTCTGCAAGTGGCTTATTAGGCGAGTATGTTGAACTTGATCAAGTTCTACATACTTAGAACTGTGGTTGGGTGTGTTCCCTTGTCCTAGGATGAGTTCTTGGGATTTTTGTAGTTCGTGTCACACTTTTATTAGTGCACTCTTGGCTTGCACTTTTCTCAGTTTATCTGGCCAACCAACATAAAGAAGAAAATCCTTTTCCATCTCCAAAGTCAAGTCTTGCTCTTAACCAAACCGTTTTTTTTGCAAAGCGGTTGACAAGTTCCTTTGTTAAAAAGAGGCAATCTTAAGTTATTTTGATTCACAATTTGGAAGTATGAGAGCATGGTAAGAGTTAGCAAGTTTAGAGGTGCATGATAATTGGGGAATTGTTGAATCTTTAAGGCTCAACGATAGTCAGTGTTTACGTACATAGGTTTGTATGTTTAATCTTGGTTTGGCACTGTTTTGCTGTTCCAACAGTTTTAATCGCTAATGAGTCTTAAGATCCAAAAAACTCAGTGGACCAAATGAGTTTATATTCTGTGAGATCAAGATTACAATGGCACACAGTTTAGGAAAATACTGATAGGATATTGGCTGTTTTGTATAAGTAACATGTTTACAGTAGAGATACTATCTTTAGTCTTAATTTCTTAGAAATGAAATCACCTGGAATGCCATCCCATCAAACTGCCTTTCAAATTCTGCAGTTTTTCTCTTCTGCTTAATCTTAGATTGTCCCTTTTTTTTTTTGTTCTTTTGTTTTCAGCCTCTAATTCTGATTTTCAAAACTAAAACATCTCAATCTGTTTCTTTCTAAAGAATTTTAGCCATTGCACCAAATTCCTTAAATAAAGAATTGTGTTAATGTTGAGTGAGAGGAAAATAGTTGCCATTGTTTTGTTTCACTGAGTCTGGTTAGGTACAAGTCTCTTGAAGAAACCAGGTTGAATATTTTTCTCGATTTTAATTAAGAATGCTTTAATGTTGTGAATATTGTCTGGCACTAGATGTTGGCATTTTGAGACAGAAATTGCAAGTGATTACCAGGTAAGTACTACTGGTTTTGTCAAAAGGTTGAATAAGAATGCAGGTGATAGCACATGATGTTAAATGGAATTCACCTCATACAGCCCTTTCCCCTTATGTTGCCTCCAATAAAACCCAAAATCTGAATGGTGAATATTAAATCTCATAGTTGAGTTCACACTTTGCCCAAGAGAAAGATAATATATCCGTACGTCTTGAACCTTAGCATTGTGTGTAACCTTTTCTTACAATAGTGATAGAAAGGTGAGTGATGTTTAGGCATTGTTAGTTTTACCCAGTGTAGATTTTGTGGATGTGGGTTATATAGAATATCGTCACTTAGTCTTGATTTTTAAGCGTCAAGTCCAAAAAAGTTCTTCACTGTAGCAGGTTAGTCTTCAAATTCCCCCAAAATCTTTGCTTTGAGTTGAATTTTGGAGATTCTGTTAGATCATTATTTTATCAATGTTGATTGTTAATACAGGATGAATGAGGCCTGTTTTTGCATTGATTTGTATTTTTAGAAAGTCTTCTGAAAAGGTCAAAAAGCATACTTTAACTTTTGCTAGAAAGTATTGTATGTTATATGAATGTATACTTAAGAACTTGTGCATTTTTTTGCAAAATGATCTTTTAAAAGCATGAGCTTACAACTAATGTAGACATGTCAGTTGGTTGATATGAGCCAAGCTTACTGTAGCAGGATCAAGTATTTCTTTACCCCCTCCCAATATTTTAAAAAATTAGCTTTTCATCAACAACTTGCATGTTTTTAATACACGAATTCCGGTTGTAACCCCTAGTATCTTTTTAACAAAAACGTTGATGGCAAACATTTCTGCTTAGTTCTAAGGAGGATCTCTTAACCAAATGTGTGTAACAACAGCCCAATAGTTGATCTGGTTTTATTAAGTGGCCACATGAGCTGGATTGAAATAAAGTTAATATTTACAATACTTGGTTGTAGTCTTCGATTATAAAATAAAGTAAGGAATGGGGTAACAATGACAGCAGGAAGGTGCATCCATTTTTGAATAGTTGTGATATGTAAAGGTTTGGCCTCTATTCCACTACTTTCTGCATCTAAGCCCCATGTCTGTACATAATCTCTAGGAGGCCCTGAGGAAACCTGCTTGGGCATTCTGATTCCACGATTACATTTGTGCTGCCAGCAAACATTTCCCATTACATTTTAGTGATGGATATTAAAAAGGAAAATCAATTAACTGTGAGTCCCTTAAGTTTTAAAAAAAAAACTTATATTTTCCTGGATTAAATAGATAGTAGTTGGTGTTGAAGAGCTATGCTGAAAATAATGCTTTCTTAGAAAAGACATCGCACTACTTACCATAATAGCCATGGTGGTTTTTATGGCTGATAGGTATAATAAAAACTTTCGTTTCTCACCCCCACCCAGAGAAAATAAAACTAGGCCAGGATATTACTGACAGTGCAATTAGAACAATCATAAGATGCAAATGCAGGATAAGGGAAAGCTAGGATGTTTTATAAAGGCAGTATTGTGTCCAGGGTGTTCAGCAAAGACATGTTTCATTGAGCTATTAAATGATACTGTCTTTTTAAATATTTCAGGAGGTGAGCTATAAATTTCTTTCAATCTCACCACCTTTAAAAGTAGGGTTTTCTCTTTTGGACAGCAGA